CAGTCCCCAGAAACCTGGACACAGAGTCACCTCATCTGTTTCAAAGCCTGTCCTTTCTCCCAAAATGCCTGCCTTTGACACACACTCCAACCTCAGTTTCAGCCGATAATGTGAACTCTACTTTGCAGAGAAAATGGAAACCACTAGACAGGACTCCCCTTAACTTCTTGCCTCAGACAAATCTCCCTTCATATCTGACCAGCTTATTATAATAAAAGACCATCTTGCAACCTAAAGCTGGGTCTTTCTGCTGGGCTCTGAATCTGAGTCCCTCACCTCTTCTGGGGGCAGTGGGGGCCTCGTTCTGTCCACCAGCTCCTTTATGTCTTGCTTCTCCATCCCCACTCCCTGCTCAGCATTTAAGTTTGTTCAGATCTCTCCCATCTTAAAAAAAAACAACAGCAGGGTGCCTAGGTGGCTCAGTTGGTTAAGCGACTGCCTTCGGCTCAGGTCATGATCCTGGAGTCACAGGATCGAGTCCTGCATCGGGCTCCCTGCTCGGCAGGGAGTCTGCTTCTCCCTCTGACCCTCCTCCCTCTCATGCTGTCTCTCATTCTCTCTCTCTCAAATAAATAAATAAAATCTTAAAAAAAAAACCAAACCAACAGCAATACAACTTTCCCTCTACCCCACGCTCTCCCTTCCCCTCCTGTGCTGTGTTTCTCCTGCCTCTGAAAGGTGAATGCTGGAGAGAGGGGCCTTATCAACCCAAGCGGCCCGTGAGGCCCAGGGAGCTGACTTCTGCCCCCTCTGCGCCCGCTCAGCTCCTCCACCCCAGTGTCTCGGCCCCACCAGGCGGAATCTGTGCGCTTTCATGGGTGGGTGCTGTTCTCTCCCACCTCAGGGACCCCGCAAGGGCTGGTCCCTCCTCTGCAGGGAGGACTGCCGTCACCTCTGTCCCTAGTGGCCCCTCTGGGTGCACCTCGACTGTCAGCACGCTGTTTCAGAGCTCTCCTGCTGCCTTCCTGGTGCGGCTGAAAAACCAGCCTGTTAACCCTGACATTTAAAAACAGAAGGCAAACCCTGCGGGTAGAATAGAATAGAAGACATGCACATCTCCCCTCGCTTTGCTTTGGGAGGGAAGTGACTTATTTGGGACTTACCTGCTGATAGCTCCTCCAGGATCATGGCTTTTCTGTGTGGGTCCCCGTCTTTCCAGACCCAAAGAGAAGCCAAGGAGACAGTCTGATGAAAGGTTTGACCCTATATCGCTGCCCCTCCCCTCTGTCAGAGCAGGACGGGCTTCTCCCTGGTTCCTCTTTCCCAAGGTTGTTATGGCAGGAGAACTGGGGTGGGGGGCTTATTTCTCATTAACGTATTTGCCCCTAAAAATCCAGGCAGAAGATCTAAATTTTACTGGCTCAACTACTTTATCATGTACAATAGTATCATAATCTAGGTTCCTCCCAGAGCAGGGCCTTGGACATGGACTTGGGTGGAGGACGTCTTTAAGGGAGGTGATCCAGGAAGCCAGCTGGGAAGAATGAGGAACACAAGCCTGGAACGGGACGAAAGCCAATAAAGGGTGTATCGGTGGCTGGGGTCGCTCAGGGGTCTGCACACTCCCCACACATCCCGCAGCACTGCACCGGGGCTGAGTGGCCTTCCGCTGCTTCCCAGAAAGGCCCAGAAGGGAAAAGCAGAGGTGCAAACAGGGCGGAGGGGAACCCTCATGGAGCTGTCTAACAGCAGAGCAGAAATCAGTGGGGCCCAGGGCTGCGGGAGGGGAACCCCAAGTGTCTGCTGCATGCAGGATGTTAGCTGGAAGCCTCCCCGCGTGGTCCCTCCAAGGTGTCTAGGAGACAGGTGTCCGCAGGTCAACGGGAACAAAGGGGAACCTGTTCACTGCTCTGGAACCCCTCACCCCGGTGGGGAGTTCACAGTGGGAGACTGGAAAGAGATGTCTTTGGAAACAGCTGTTACTTTATTGTGAGTCGGCACCACTTCCAATGGAGGGATGCGAGCCAAGTGAGAGGGTGTCAAAGAGAGGACTTGTGGAGGTTTGACACGTGGGCCTCACGGGGGTGGGTCCAAGGGGACAGGGACCTACACCAGGCCTGAGAGAGTGGAAACCATCGTACACTGAGATCAGAGTCCTTGCAGGCAGGCAGAATGCGGTGTATGCTGTAGATTTTGGTGTCAAGCAAGGAATATGGCGGGCCACCGAGCACCAGCCATGAGACACAGCCTTGTTGCTGGGTCTGGTGCCACACAGTGGGGACAGTTGGCCAGATGTCCAGGGGCTGTGGGAGGACCTTCAAAGGACCAACCCAGAATAGAGATGTATCCACCCTGGGTCAAGGGTAGGAGGGATGGAACCGGTGGAAACTCTTAAGAACCCATAAAACTGCTCCTCTAAAGAAGAGACCATCGTAACCATCTGCCAGACCCACAGAGAGCAAAGCCACTCAGCCAGGTGAGTACGATTCCATCACCTCTCCTTCATGCCCGCCCTCCTGGAGATGGGGGGGTGGGGCGGGAAGGAAGTGAGTTGGGGGAAGGAAGTTCAGGGCAGCAGAGGTGCAGGGGTAAGCTGGGAGTGAGGAGAGAGAATCTATCTTTCCCATTCCCCAGTGTAGGCTTCCAACCTGAGACAGACCCAAGCAGGGGGAAGGGGAGAGTGATTTGAATTTAAGTTTGGAATTTTGTATATTACAAGAGACAGGAAGTTCTCATTTCTGAACTGAGACAGAAATTAAGACCAGAGTTCTCATTTGGGGCAGGAGAAGACCACCCTACTGAATAAAAGTGAAGGGGTGGGGGCTGCTGGCTGGCTCAGTTGGCAGAGTATGCGGGACTCTTGATCTCAGGGTTGTGAGTTTGAGCCTTACATTCGGTGTAGAGATTGCTTAAAAATAAAATCTTTGGGATGCCTGGGTGTCTCAGTTGGTGAAGCCTACCACTTCCATTCAGGTTATGATCTCAGGGTCTTCGGATGGAGGTCCAGGTCAGGCTCCTTGCTCAGCGGGGAGCCTGCTTCTCCCTCTCCCTCTGCCCCTCCCCCTGCTCGTGCTCTCGCTCTTTCGCTCTCTCTCAAATAAATAAAAAAACTTTAAAAAATATTTTAAAAAAATAAAAATCTTTTTTAAAAAGTGAAGGGGTGGTTAGAGACAGAAATGGAGTTGAGTTTGGATCACAATCCATGAGCCAGAATGAAAATCAGATTTTCAGAGTGTTTGAAAATCATCTTCTGAGAAGTCTCTTCTCCACATTGGACTGGGAGGGGGTGTGTGTGTGTGTGTGTGTGTGTGTGAAAATTATCTCCTACTCAATAAGCATGATGTGCTGTTTGTTCTTGTTGATGGAGACAGGTCTAATCAATCCGAACACAGCTCCTTTTGGTGGATCCCCGTGGAACAGCCGTGAGGTGCCCCTGGATCCCCTTTCCAGAAAGCTTGTCTTCCGCTGCAGGGGTGTAGTTGACGGATGGCCTCCAATGCAGCCTCCAGCATTCCCGCTCCTCTTGGGCAGGCCCAGCCGGGATAGCACAGTGAGGGGGTGGGATCTTTGCCCCAGAGCCCCCACCAACTTAGCAACTTGACTTAGCGGAGACTGAGATGATCTGCTTTGCATGGAGGGGCTCCCCCTGCCCGACTCTGTTTCCTTCCTTTTTATCTTCTACAGGGCGTTCCCCTCCACGAAGAGGAAACCTAGCCCCGGCACCTGCTTCTGAGAGACCACAACTGATAGACTCACACTTTAGACTCTGGATATTATGCAGATATTATGTTTTCTTTTCTCCTTTTTTTTTTTTTGCTTTAATTTTTTTTAAATAGGAAGACTACATAAGAAAGTTTTCATCTACACTTAAAAAAACCCCACAATCTCTGAGGTTTGACGCTCCCAAATTGAATTTTCAGAACTGCCCACCTCATTTTCTTCTTCACTTAGCAGATCCTAGTACCCTTGAGGTCATTTCTCCTGGAAGGCTTTCTCCGACCTCCTGACTTCAAATTTGCTAAATCCCCTTGTCCTCGGCTCCCCAGATGAGTCCTTGGGTGAAACTCATCAAACTCGCAGTTAGTTGTCCATAGTCAGATCTTAGCCCCTGATCTCCTCGAAGTCATGATCTAAAGCTCTTGGTCACTGCTAATCCCTCAGAATTTAGGACAGTGCCTGGGCCACGGATGCTGCTCAGTAAGTATCTGACGGGTGCTGAATCTGATACCCTGAAGATATGAGGTGCTGCCACAGGACCGGGGCTGATAGATCTGCCTCTGTGGTATCATCTATCTTGAAGGCTTCACTCTTGCTTCCCGATCACAGCACAGACCTGTAGGATTGAGTATTCGAAAAAACGTAAAGGTTCTCCTGTCTGAGTACCCATCCGATGCCAGAGATGCTGTAGACATCCACCGATCCAAGACTGGCCTGTGTTAGCGTGAACACCAGCGATGGAGACTGGTGCCTCCCAAGGCCACCACGGTGTCCTGGGCAGCACTCATTGTTGGATCTCCTCCAGCTTTGGTCCACGTCATAGTCTCACAGAACAAGTTAGTCTTTCCATAATATTAACAACCTCGATGGGTTCTCAGGCCCAAAGTGTGCTTTTTTTAAGGGGGTTATTAAAATTTTTCTTCCTCTGAATAGTCTCTCAAGTGGGAACCTAGCAAGCTTAACATAGGACTACTTCATTTATTCATCTATTCCAGAAATACCAATTGGGTGCTACATGCGTCTAGCATGGGACATACAGAGATGTCCCAAAAGACGGAGTCCATCTGGGGAGACCAAAATGCTTGTAAGGTCAAAGGATCATAGCAAAATAGGAAGTGCCAAGAGAGAGCTGACCCAGAGTATGCTGAGGGCCAAGAGCTCCAGGTGGGGCAGCGGCGGGGTGTGTGGGAACACAGGGGGCAGGGCGTCTAGGAAGGTTTCTTGTAGGAAGTAGGATCTGAGCGGTGTTTGATGGACAGGAAGCATGAGTCAGTGGGTGAACGAGCTGGGCAATCAGGCTCGGAGAGAGAACTTCCCAAGATGGACAGGGAGGGGCTTAGTGGGGATGAAGGAAGTTGGAGGCTGCTGGGGGCTGAGAAGCATTTCCCCTCCTAGAGACTGCCAATCAGTCACTGTCTCCAGGAGCTTCCTGACAGCTTGTCTTCTTCATTGGCTTGGGGGCCGAGCAGGTCAACCTACTGGGGCACGGGGCTGACATGGGGGCCCTTCTGTGGTTGCTCCTGCTTTTGTGGCTCCAGGCAGGTGAGAGAGAGAGAGAGAGAGAGAGGGCAGTCCTGGGATGGGAGCGTCTCCGTCCCTCTGCTCTCCTGTCCCGCCGCGGTTTGGGCTAGCAAGGCTTGGGGCTGGATGCTTTGGCTCTTGTGCAGTAGAGAGAATAGGGTGTGGCTTCGGTGCAGGGCCAAGAGGTGAGGAAGCCTGGAATATAGAAGGGGGACCAGCCCACCGCAGCCAATGGCGAAGGAAAAATGTGGAGGGTGAGGGCCCAGCCAGAAGCCAAGCCCTGGTAGGTGCTCAGGTCAGGTGCAGCGGAGAGCCAGAGAGGCAGCTGGGCGCGGGATGGAGCACAGGATGGAGCACGGGGCCACGGAAGCCGCGCGGTGGAGCCCGGTGCGCCCACATCAGTGTCCCGCCGCCAGGCTCAGCAGCCCGAAGACATGAGCTGGGCTGTTTCCATCTGTTCTTCCTTTTTCTGCAGCCAAAGGGTATTCTGGAGATGATGTGGATACAGAAGAAGTAGTTGCAGTCCTTCAGGAGTCCATCAGCCTCCGCCTGGAAATACCAGCCGATGAAGAGGTTGAGAACATCATCTGGTTCTCTTACGTAAGACTTGCCACCGTGGTTCCGGGGAAAGAGACACAGCCAGCTACCGTCATGGTGACCAACCCTCGATACGAGGGCCGAGTGAGCTTCCTGGACCCCAGCTACTCCCTGCACATCAACAATCTGAGCTGGGAGGACTCAGGGCTGTACCAGGCTCAGGTCAACCTGAGGACATCGCAGATCTCCACCATGCAGCGTTACAATCTACGTGTCTACCGTGAGTCTAGGCTGGGAACTCTAGCGCTGCTTGTTTCTGGCTCTCCTGAGCTTTGCACACAAAGGAGCGGTGGTCTCGGGACTGAATTATGGTTTGAGGGGCGGGGACTGGAAGGCCAACGGTCTCCAGCGTGCCCAAGCCCAGTGTCTGAGCTGCGGCCACAGGCGGAGTGACCCACATCAGTGAGGCCCTGGGCACGCAGGCTGCTCCCCTGGACCTTCCTGATGGAGTGGAAGGGGTCCAGAGCTTCGTGTGCAGACCTCCAGGGCCCCTTCTCCCCCACTGAGATTCTGCATCCTGGGGATGGATGCCATCTTTATTCCCGAGCCTTTTATCCTCCTATGCCATGGGAGGGCTACTAATCAATATCTCCTCTCTGCCTGAGCCAGATTTCTCAGTGCCTGTGACACTGACTGATATTCTAACTTGAATCTTGCAGAGACACTGATTAAACTATAAATGCCCCCAGGAGGTGTGATAATATTTTCTGGGATCAAGGAGGCAGAATGGGGTTTGGAGGAAGGTGGGGTGCACAGGTGAGGGAGAGAAAGCAAGGACATGGGGGGGCACGTAGAAAATGCCGTAGGCAGCTCTCTCTGCCTTAGCAGCTGCTGGGAGCCCCTGGCACCAGATTTTATGGCGGCTGGGTTATGTTAGTTTCTGTTTATGTGAAGAGACCTTCAGAAGGCACACCCGTCACGCCAGGATTGAGGACCTTAAGAGAACAGACCCGACCCCTGATTACTTGGAGGGTCTTCATGTCCTTCCTTCATCTAGGACGGCTGTCGGAGCCTCGTGTCACCGTGAACTTTGAGATTGCTCAGGAAGATGGCTGCAATATATCTCTGACCTGCTCTGTGGAGAAGGCAGGCCTGGATGTGACCTACAGCTGGATCTCCTGGGAGGATGGCATGGACACAGTCCATGAGAGCTCTGCCCTCAGCACATCCTGGCGGCCTGGGGACGATGCCCTTTCCTACATCTGCAGGGCCAGCAACCCCGTCAGCAGCATCGCCTCCCGCCTCATCCCTGCCGGGCCCTTCTGTGCAGGTACCAGGCCCCCGGGGACACCCTCCGAGCGACCGCAGGCCTCCGGGCTACCACTACCCTCCCCCCGTTCTTCCCAGGTGTGTACCTGGAACCCAGACCCGCACTCTTCCCCATGGGGCCTTGTCCCCTGGACTGGGGCGGGGGCTGGTGCTCCCACCTTCCAAAGGTTCTCGAGTCTCTCGCTCAGCTTGAGATTGCTCCTCGCATCTCAGCTCCTGAGCTTCTGTGAGCAGAACACATAGGTCCAGAGACACTGGCAAAGGAATATCAACTGACTGTGAACTTGAGACCCCTCTGTGGGATCTGGGCTGGGTGTCTGCCTCCAAATCCGGACTTCCCCTCCCCCTGGCGAGGGGACCCCCCCCCCCTCCCTTCTTCTGTCCCAGATCCCGGCTTTCCTTCGGAGAAGGCGACTTACTTCTGCCTCTTGGCCAAGGGACTGCTTCTTCTCTTGCTCGTCGTAATTCTGGCCGTGGGGCTCTGGCTCATCCGAGCCCAGAAACGATGCCAAACGCCAAGGATGAGGAAGCTCAAGAGAAACAGACTCAGACTGAAGAAGAAGGAGAAGCCCCGCCCCAGACTGGCCTGAGCGCCCCTGGGGACCCCTGTCCTGAGCACTGTTTCTCCCCAACCCCTGGGGAGTCCTCCCCCGCCCCACCTGGGGGCTTCTCCTCCCAGGGGGCAGCGGGCTGGGTATCCAAAGGGCCATACTCCTCAGGTCAGGGGGCATGATTCTCTGGCAATAAAGTCCTATCAGGTGACAGCCACTCTGGAGCAGCTGCGTTTGGTCCTTCGCCGGGTGACTCACAAACCTGCTTCCCCGACCTCCCTTCCATTCTAGGTGTCCTCCCCCCAGTCCCTGTGCTTTCCACACTGCCTCTGCTAAGGAGAGTGAGTCCAAAGCCCCCTTCACAACAGTATTTATTCTTCAACGCCTAGCCCATTCCCACCCACACACGTAACACGTACACTTCCAACAACAAAGTGAGCGATCCCTGTGACCCAAACTGAGTCTGTGACCCCTAAGCAGGAGAGTTCCCAGCACTGAGCAGCCACGGAGGGCGGGGGGTCTTCCCGCTGAGACTCCTCTGCTCTCAGACTCGGCTTCCGCCCTGGCTCGGTGCAGACTGTGAGGCACAGGGACGTGTCCAGCGTCCTGGGCTGTCCTTCGTCCTCCCCAGGGGCTGAGTCAAGCCCGATGACCCTCAGTCATCTTCGTGTCTGCCTGACGCTAGCCGCGCTGGGCCTCTGGGGCCGGCCGCAGACGGACGACAACTTGGCTGGACCGGTAGCTGACGTCCGGACCCCTGACCGCCGTTCGTGGTTAGTATCACTGTCCTGGCCTCTTAAGATTTCCATGTCCCAAACCTTCTCTCTGGACTCTTGTCCTGAGTGCATGCCCACCCCCTCCCCACATACCCATCCCGGGCCAAGGCCCTTACGCTGATCCCCGCCAGCAGTCTGAATCCCTCACCTGGGCCTGCTGAGCCCTGTCTTGGTCATCCTCCCCGGACACTGTCTTGTGGGTGTTATGCAGGCCGGGCAGGTGGGGAAGCGTGAGGGGAGGGCACTGGAGGCCACCAGGTGACAGGACACATAGGTAGTCAGTGAGCTGCAGGAGGTGGTGTAGGACATGGGTAGAGCCCTGGGTGGGATCACAGGAGCTCCGGGCCCCTCTCTGCCACTGGCCTGGGACACTTTGTTCAGCAAACACCCATTCAGGCTCCGGTCCCTTTCTACAAGGAGCGCTCTGAAGGAGAGGCGGGCGTAGGTGGCCCTGAGTGGGCTCTTACAGCAAGGTGGCTATGGAGGCGCAGGAGGGCTGGCTGGTTCCCCCTGGGAATCTCCGTGGAGGCTGAGGGACTAGGGGAGGGCCAGTGGCAGAATGCCTGACATTCCTACTGCTTGTCTTCCCCTCTTTCAGTGAGAAGGATGCTGATCTCCAAAGTGACTTCCAAGAAAAGGATTATCGGACTGTGCAGGGGCAGTGGGATGCATAGGGGAATTGTGGGGACCCAGGACACTGTTTTTGGGAAGACAGGACAAGTGGGCCAGGCACTAGGACACCCGGGAGGAGGGTTCTTTCCGGGTTCCAGACGGGAAAGGAAGCAGGGCCAGGAGGCAAGCAGGGATTTCCTCCATTTCTATGCAGGAGATGGAGCCCCTTGGGGCCTGGGAAGGAGTTGGTGAGGTTGGGAAACCAGTCCCCAAAGAGCTCCTCAGGTGGGCAACAGATCAACTCTACTACCCCCTGAGGGCCTGAGCCCTTGTCCCCCTGGAAGACAGTCCCTGCTGCCCCGAGGCCAGCCGATTCTCTGCACCTCTGCCCCACCTCCCAAGAAGGCCCACCTTCAAAAAGGCCTGAGGTTCAGGGCCAAGCCTGCAGCCCCAATTCCCCTAGCTCCTGTAATCCATTTCTGGAGGCTGACTGGGAAGACATGCGGGGCCGCTGGTTTTTCCTGTATCTCAGGGTCAGGCCCATGGAAAGTGAGTAAAGAGATGGACGTTCCCTGTGCAGCTGATCCAGGGCTCTCCCTGGGAGCTGGCCAAATCTTTCTCCCACCATCTCTGAACAGAGAAGGGCTGAGGCCCCAGACCGTCCAGGGGGAACCTGGAAGACGAAGGCAGAGCCCCTCAGAAGGTGGAATTGCAGCTCAGGGAGGCCCGGGGCCTCTCCCTCTGCAGGAAGCCAGGATAATGATCATCTGGTAGCACTTTGCAACGTTTGCCTGTCCTTTGAAATAGGTGGAAGCAAAGGGGGGTGGGAGTGGAGTGGGGGGGAGGGTACTATTTAGGGATCCATTAAGAGTCAGGCATTGGCTAGTACTGCAGGGGCAGGAAGGACACTGCCTGCCCTCAAGGAAGTTTTCCTGCGGTGTGTGAAGATGTAATTACAACGAGGTGTGACATGGGTGTGATATGCGCCGTGGGTGAAGGTGAGGGCCCGGTGGGAGGAGCGGGACCGTGCCCCGGAGGAAGAAGAGGTGAACACAATTCTGACCCCAGATTAGCAGGGAGTCCCGGGAAGGGACATTCTCACCTGACAGAAGATGAATGGGAGGACACTGGTTTGTGGGAGAGCACAGTGACTTCTAGGGCCGGCGAGGCCACGCCCGGTGTGGGGACAAAGGCGGAGGTAAGAAGCGTGTCTGGAGAGGCCGGGCCCCTTGGACGGACTCAGGGCTGTGGGGGCATTCAAGCACGAACGAGTCAAGCGCCACACCCTCCTGGACCTACAGCCTCACGGGGACAGAAGACAGGCACGCCCGCGGCGAGGGGACAGTCTGTGAGAGACCACACCGGGTGATAGGGCGAGTGCTCCCAGGGGTCAGCAGTGTCCCTGGAACTGACCACATTGTCTGACCTTCTTGTCAGCAAGTTGAAAATACGTGGGCCAGTTGATACTTGGGTTACATGAAATCCTAGTTTGTTGGTTGAACACACTTTCCCAGAGAGTTACAATCACAGATCGAGGACGAATCAGAAGAAAATCTTAATTTTGAGCCTCAGGGACTATGTTTATCAAGTTTCACTTCTGACACACGTAACAAGTTTCAGGGCTAGGTTCCTGTTCTTTCCCAAAAGCCCATAAGATACTTCAGAATCAGACCAAAATGACAATAATAATACAATTCACAAAATAAGCATTCGGTGTGGGGGGGGGGGGGATGACCATATCATAAACTTTTAAAAATGGAAAGTTATTCTAAATCCCAAGTTTACAAAAAGTTATTTTAACAACCAAACGAAATTAGCTCTTCCTCAAAAAACACTGGAAAGAGCAGAAGTGAACCTTCGGATCAGAGGTGTGCAGATCCCACCTGGGGGGGAGGGAGATCTTCCCTGCTGGCTAGTGAGGGGCCACGGGGTAAAGCCTGGCCTGGCTTTCGCATGGTGTCCCCTAACCTGTGCCCCGAACGGTCTCATCACTGCCAGGTAAGTCTGTTACCTGGTCAAGTAATGCGGGAAGCTGCCACTTTGGGAGACTTTGCTGGAGGGATGGTGGGAGAGACCACACCACGGCTCCTGCCTCCCCTCCTTCTCACCCTTTCCCGTCACATTTTCATCTCAGGCTGTGGCAAGAAGCCCCCAGCTGTTCACACCTGGAAGAACTTTCCAGCAGTCTGTCTCTAAGGATGGAATGGATTACTAGGGGGGATGGTGAGCTTCCTGGTCCAGGATGTGGGCCGATGGGGCCAGGGGCCGCCTGGAAGGAGGATGTGGCTGGGATCCTGGAGTGGTTCAGTGCATCCTGCAGGGTCTCTCTTGGAAGAAGTTGAGGCCATGATTCCATGAATCAGATGCCTGGGAGGCTCCTTTGGAGTCACAGGAGTCCAGACTGGGGTGAGGGCAGTGAACGGGGAGGACCTGGACAGATACGGCTGCTTAAGCCTGCTGAGGAAGGCATGATGACCCTATATCCCTAAGGGGGCCCCCAGCTGACCAAGGAGAACGCTCTGAGGGGCAGAAGTGCCAGATATCTTCTGGCCTTAAGTCTCACAGGAAGTGGGTTTCATGAAGTCCAGGTCGGTGTGCGTTCAGCTCTGCGCAGTCCGAGATGGAAAGGCTGGGGCAAATCCCCCTTTTCTCATTAGTAAGGCAGAGCCGTGCCTACTTGCCAGGGTCTCCGCCCAGGGGACCTAAGAGCTACAAAGCCTGTAGTCCGGGGGATGGCACCCTGCAGAGTTCAGGAGGCGATCTTTCCAGGCCCCGCGTCAGGAGGCCTCTCGTCCTGGCCCCCTGGGCCTGTCTCGCTGGGTCGCTGGCGCTGGGAGCTGCAGCGGGGCGACCTGGCAGCCTCGGCCCGGGCGCGCGGCCCCCTCGGCACCCTGTGGGAGGCGCCGGGGCAGGACCTGGGAGCTCGCCAGCGCGGACAGGTATTTCCAGTCGGGCTGCGGCAGAAGCGGGTGGGGGCGGCGGGGCAGGCGAGCCCGGGGCCCTGGAGCTGCGCGGATCCCCGGGGGGTCCTGTTGCCGGCCGGGCGCTCCGGCCCCGGCTCGGCGGTGGGCCCCGCGGCTCTCCGCGGCGGAGCGCGGGCGGCTGGCCCGGGACGGGGGCCCGGGTCCTGCGCGGCCGCAGCCCCGGCTGCGCCCGACGCACGGAGCTCCGCCAGGGGGCGACCCGAGCCCGCGGCCAAGCGTCCCGCCCTCCCGAAACTACAACTCCCAGGCCGCTCGGGGGTCGCGGCCGCCCCGCCCGCTGGCCGGCCCCCTCGGCGCGGGCGGGGCGCGGCGGTCTCCAGGGCGACGCGGGCGCTGGGGCGCCGGGCGGGAGGCGGGCCCGCCCCCTATTGTGTGGCTGCGGGAGCCGGGCCGCGCGGCGCCGGGCAGGTGAGGGCGGGGGCGCTCCGGGGGCAGGGCCGGCGGCGGCGGGGCTCGGAGTCCCGGGGGCGCGGAGCCGGCGGGGGCTGGGGCACCGTGGGATTCTTTGGGGAGCGGAACTCGAGTTCTGGGGAGTGAAGTGGGATTTTTGGTGGGCGGGTGGTGGGGGGTTCCCCGAGACCCGGCGGCGTCTGGAGGTAACGCGTGCGCGTGCATGCGCGCGCGTGTGTGTGGGTGTGGGTGTGTGTCCGCGCGCGCGCGCGTCTGTGCAGGGGGTGGGTCCTGGGGGGTTCCGGGAGGGAGAGTTCAGGGGTCCGGAGCAGGGAATTGGGGTGGGGCATCAGAGGGGTACTGTGGGCTGAGGCCGGAGAATTTTGGGAGGGAGATTCCGGGGAAGGGGATGGGAGAAGGGGGAGGATGGGGATTCTGGAGGAGACAGGAAGGGAGTTCCTTGAAGCGCGGAGGACCTGGTGCAGTTGGAGATCAGGGGTGGAAACTGGGAATTTGGGGGGGACTGTGAGAAGTAGGGGTAGCTGGAATCGGAGCCCTTGCTGGGGAGACCCGACAGGTGAGGACATGGTGGGGGGTGTGGGCAGAGGAGTAGGAAGATGTAGGAAAAGCAGAGGAATTCGGGGGAAACCCGGGAGGGAGCTGGGGTTCCTATCCACTTGGAAAATGATGTCAGGGAAGAATGGGAGAGCTGGCTGGGGGCAGAGGGAAGCAAGGGGGAATGTTTGCTGGTGAGTTGTCAGCTCCATACCCGGGGCCCCCAAGTAGAAGCCGGGGTCAGGCTGAGGGACTTGGAGGATGGTTTATGGCCGATCCAGAACTGGGAGATCTGGAGTGGGGTGGAGACCACAGAGCAAAGTCCAGTTGGGTTTGCGGGGCCCACCCAAGGCAGCCGCACCCCTGCCCCCAGCCCACTGTGATTACCCTAGATGCTCTGGGGCTGGAGCAGCCAGGGTTCCTACCATCCGTGCCCCAGGGCTTACTCTGTACACCCTAGGGACTCGCAGGCTTTTTGGCTTCTGAGTCTTGCCTCTAGGGTTGGGGAAGGGAAAGTCTGGCAAACCCTGGGCCCCCAGGTCACTGGAGGACAGTGAATGGGAAGCCCTGGGGTGAGGCACCTGGGTCATGGTGGAGGGCTGCCTGGCAGCATCATGAAGGAAAAGTAGTACCAGCCGCCTGCCCATGGACCTGCCCAGACCTGGAGGATGCTGGGGGTGGGGGTTGCTTTCCAGCGGGTTGGGGAGGCCGCCCCTCTCCTCCCAGTGCCTGACTCACTTACTGCCCGAGCAGTATTGAGAGCCTGAGTGGAGAAAGAGAGGCAAGGTTTCCAGCTTCCAGGGTTCACAGTGGCTGGGGAAATGGGCAAGGAATTGTGCGTGTGGGTTCCCTGGGGGCCGCTTTGTGGGGGTTCTGATCCAGGCTTTGCCCTTCACTGGCTCGGTGCCCCTGAGCAAGCCTGTCTGGGATCCTTGGGGTCCTTATTTGTCACTGTGGGGTGGAGGCGCTGGTACCCATTCTACCTTGCAATCTTGTTATTAGCAGCAGGACTAAGGAAGGAGCACAGAGGCTGAGCCACGGGGCCTCTTCATCTCCCATTTTCCTGACACATCTTTTTCCAAGTGGATAGGAACCCCAGTTCCATCCCAGCTCAGCTTTCTGAGCACTTAAGTAACCCCGAGTTTCCCTGGAGTTCCTCTGCCTTTCTTAAGATCTTCCTCCTCCTCTGCCCCACCCTCCCCATGTCCTCACCTGTCAGGTCTCCCCACCCAGTGCTCCCGGGCTCTTCCAGCGCTCCCACCCCGGCCCTGGGGGGCCCTTATTCCCTAGGCTGGCAGGATCTCTAGTCTCTGTGCACCTCCCCTACTTATCTGCTCTTCTCTCTCTTCCTTTGCTCTTCTCCTGGCCTTTCTGTAACTGTGGGGTGTCTTCTGGTCCCAAGTATTGGCCAACTCTGTACGTTGCCTTGCATTTTGCATTTAGATCTGGTGGTGCTCCAGGGAGCGGCTTCATCAGGTGTTATGTGAGCCAAGTCCTAATCGTCCAGAAGAGTGAGAGCTGAAACCTGCCACCGATCAGAAGGCTTTGTGGGGCTTGCTGGGCTGTGGACACCCCCGGGCCCCTCCATCTGGGCCCCCGTGGATAGGAGGGGCCGGGCGAGCAGGCAGCTGGGCTATGGTTTGGTGCCTCAGTGTGGTCATCCTCAGCCTGATCATCAGCCAGGGGGCTGACGGTGAGCCGGACTCCCTGGGCTCAGGAGCTCCCCGCTGGCCTTGGAATGGGGGACATTCCCCAGGAGGGGTAGAGGGGGAATAGGGCTGGTTCTGGAGAAGTGGAGGATTCTCTCAGTCGCTTCACAAAGTCCTGGGGAGCCCTCAGAGCCAGCGAGGAGCGTCCTCTCCCAGCCCTGACTGGGGTCCCTGCTGTCGGCCCCACCCTGCAGGTCGAGGGAAGCCTGAGGCCGTGTCAGTGGTGGGCCAGGCTGGCGAGAGTGCGGTGCTGGGCTGTGACCTGCTGCCCCCGGCTGGCCGGCCCCCCCTGCATGTCATCGAGTGGCTGCGCTTTGGATTCCTGCTTCCGATCTTCATCCAGTTCGGCCTCTACTCTCCCCGCATCGACCCTGATTACGTGGGTAAGACTTGTCCTCAGGTGGGAGGTTGGGAGGTGCTACCAATGCACCAAAGAAGGTGGGCTGGGGGTGGAGGGCAAGACCTCTTCTTTACTGCTCTGCTTCCCCCCCCCCCCCCCCACACTGTCTCAAATGCCAGTTGGGAGGTTCTAGGCCTCTCGGGAGTGGGCTGATGGGCAGCAGGGTGGGTGGGTCTGTGACCCATCTGCTTCTCCAGTGGGGGCTCAGTCTGGTCTGAGTACAGAAGAGCATGTGCGTGGGGAGGCGGGGGTTGTGAGGGCCAGTTTCCCTGAAGATCAGGGAATGGATGGGGCCAGGCTGGGTTCCTGCTTCAGGTGGCTCCTGTCCGGATTTAAACTAGTGTATAGGCCTCCGAGGGGCCGCCTTCTATGCCTTCTGCGCCCCCGCTGGCTGGCTCCCTCAGAGGGCTTGGTTTCCTCCTAATCCCAGATGGATCCTTAATCTAAGCAGGTTTTCTGCAGGCCTCAGAGGGCAGTGTGTGGGAGGGCCCAAGGTGGGGGCTGGGGCTCCTGCGCAAGACAGTCTTTGTGCCTTCTTCTTCTGAGAGACACCCGGGAAAGGCCACCTGGGTAACGTTGGTGGGGGAGGAGACCCCCACCTTTTCCCTCTTGAGTTTGAATCCTGAGAGCAGCCCTAGGATTGGCTGAGCTCTTCCTGAGAGGCAGGCTGAGCTCAGGCAGGTGCTGCCAAAGGAAGAGTTTATTTTCAAACTGGGGGCAGTTGTTGGCAAACAGCCTGGTGGGAGCGTATGTGTCTACACAGGCCCTGTGAGAGCTGATGAAAGCAGGCCCCAATTAGGACAGTGGGGGAAAAACAGCTGTGCCCACCAGCCCTCCCTCCCTGCCTCTGCAGGCTGGCCCGGAGGAGTTTGGGTCCTGGGGCGGAGGCTGGGCCACTACAGAATGTTCCCTGCCTGAGGACGGAGCAGGTGCAGGTGGGGCGGTGGAGGGAGAGGGCTTTTCCTGGGGTATGTGAAACTGTCTCTCTACCCTCCGTCCTGGCTTGGGATTCCTCCCACCGACAAGCCACTGGGTGGCTGGGAACTTTGTGACCGGAGGGTTTCCCTTCTCTCTCTTGCTCCTTGGAGCTGCAAGGGCTGTGAGCAGTCACCCCTGGGGCTCTTCCTACCCTGCCCTTTGGGTCCACCCCTGCCCCCAGTCTGGAGCTCCTGGTCTGGCCAGCGCTAGTCTGGGGAGTCAGGGCCCCGGGGGGAGGCCCCCCCGCCCCCCGCCCGCGCCCATTAACTCTCTTGCTGCCTCCCAGTGTGGAAGGGGCCTCTCAGCCTTTGTGTAGGGGACGGGAACTGCGGTTGCTAGGCAACAGGAGGTGGAGGTTGCTAAGGACAATGCTGTCCTGTCATAAGCCCTCTGGGCAAGCGAAGGAGAGATGGTCCCGGACCCGACCTGTGTGTGAGGCCTGTGGCCTAGAATGTGGGAGGGACCGCGCCTGTGACCAAAGCTTCCCATCTTTGAGGACTCCAGAATCCATCTGGTGGAGGAGCCGGGATTTACAGACTAGCACAGAGTGGGAAAGAGCGGTATGGACAGGCTGAGAGAGCATCCGGGAGGAAGGCTGCGACCGTCTATCAGTCCCCCGGCACAGAGCCCACACGGGGTGCCTCCGTGGCCCCAGAGCCCAGAGGGATGGCGGTCTTGACTTACTTACACCACCTCCCCGGGTGGGACCTGCTCTTCTAATCCAGGCGCCGGCTTTGGTCTTTGGTCTTTGGTCTTTGACTTTCATGCTGTCTTTCTCGGGAGTTTGAAGGTAGCCCGCGTGGCAGAAAGTCATGGGTTTCCTCTCTGCCCTGAGTTGTGTGGTTCAAAGCACACAACTTTCTGTTCTGTTCAGAACCCCTGCTCTCTCCAGTCATCTCCCCTTGCTACCCTCCCGTGGTCCCTGGAAGCCCTCAGTATTCCTCTCGCTCGGCGGTCCTTGGAATATCTGGACACGGCAAGCACCGTTTCCTGAACTGTGTGTATGTGAACTGTACATGTATGTGAGTGTGGGTTCTCTGCCTTCCGAGAGCTTGAGAGCAGAGTCTGGGTCTCCTGCTCTCTTTACACACCCCTGCTGCGGGAGGTCTGGAGCCCACCAGGCTCTGGCCCTGCGGGTCCTTTCCTCTAAATGAAATCTTGGGAGGATTAAATATGGTGCTGGTACTTAATGCCCGTGGTCCAGGTTCAGTGCTCAGTCTCCCTTCTCTCTCCTTCCTTCCCTGTAGAATGTGAGGGTCGCCATCGTGAAAAGTTGCTATCTTATGGCACTTTGGAGAGGTCATATGCTGGGCTCTGCAGGGCTCTGTGGCCAGGCCGATTAGGGTGACTGAGGAATCCCGAAGCGGGGCAGAGGAGTGTGATTATGTTAAATATTTACCTGCAAAGTCTAGGCTTATCTCCTGGGTGGGGATTTCAACACCTAGCCCTTGAGGTACCTAGTCCACACCCATTCTGGAGAATCTACACCCCTGGACCTCATCCTTGGAAGAAGAAAGTCCCTTGCCTAAGGTCACCAGGCCAGCCTGAATGGGATCATTCTCCTCCTCCTCCCTGACAGCACTAGGAGCACTGCAGGCTTCGATTATATTTTGGACACACAGCGTCAGAATTTCTAGTATTAGGAAGGGCCGATTAGGGCCTCTGTCTGGACGGTTGGTATGGGCACGTGGAAGGGACTTGGCTTAGAGCTGCAGTGGTTTTGTGTAACCCCAAAGATTTAGAAAATCTCATCCGTCCGCATCAAAGGTCAAGGTGTGGTGGACTGATGCTTGTAACAGAAGTAACAGAAGGTAGGCTCAAGGCAGGGAGACAACCTAGCGAGCTGTGGAGTAACTCAGGGGAGAGGTGCTATAGGACCACACTAAGGTGAGGATGCTGGAGAAGAAACAGATATTGAGGAGGCAGAATTTTGAAGATTTACTGAACACATAGGTGTGGGAGGTAACGGGTAGGAGTCTAGGCGGTCCCAGGTTTCTGGTAGGGCAGCTTGGTGCCTCATGGAGCTGGCCACTGCTGGGGGCAAAGGAGAGGATGTGTTACCAGGCAAGGGGCAGGGTCAAGCTCGAGTCCAGCTTCTGATTTCAAATGTTGTGCTCATGTGTTTGCTCAACAATATGTGAGCACCTGCTGAGGCCCGTGTTCCCTGAGCTCCAGCCCGTCCAGATTTGCCTTCCCTCTCTTACAGATGAAAGTGAAGCTGGCTAACTTGTCCAAGGGAGTCTCTCTGGCTCCCGAGTGCGGGCCTCTGTCACTAGGCCGCCCTGCCAGGGACACCCGAAGTGGTGTGGGGAGTGTGCTGAGGGATTTGTGGGGGCGGCCTCCGTCTGAGCCTGGTGGTGTGCCGGATGCTGACTGAGGGTGGACATGTGTGTCTGCCTGTGCTGGGCTGTGTGTCTTTGTGAAGCTCCACGTGGCCAGCCAGCCGGGGCCTGGGTGCCCTGGGGCGTGAGGGGATGGGGTGAGGAGGCTGCTGACCTTGCTGCCTGGCTGGGCTGGACTCTGGCCACCCTAAGGCGCTTAGGCCGTTGATAATAGCCCCGACGGATTAGGGGCTTTAGGAGGCGAGGTCTGGGTCCCTGCTCAGGGCCCCAAACACTGCTGAGGTTTCCAGGGACCGTCCTCTGGCAGGAGGAGTACTCTGGGCTCCAGACCTTGCCCCTATAAAGAGTCGTGGGGTGGGGCAGGTCCTGTAAGAATCACGGGGAGACTAAGTATGGCTCTTAAACCCCCCTACCCCAAGCCCTTGACGCCCCCTGCGGTTCAGTGGAGTGTCTCGCCCACCTGCTGCCACTCTGGGTTTTTCTTTGCCTAAACTGGGTCCCAGCTGCTGAAAGGCAGAGGTGACCTGGGCTGAATGGAGGGATCTGCCCTCAGTGACCCCAACCCCACTGTGTCTCTCCGGGCCAGGCCCCACTTGATCAGGGTAACTGGAGGAGACTGGGCCTGTTCTTGAGCTCTGAGAATAACCAGCGTGACCAGGGCCTTGGGGCTCCTCTCCCAGGGCGAATCCGGCTGCAGAAGGGGGCATCTCTCCAGATCGAGGGGCTCCGAGCGGAAGACCAGGGCTGGTATGAGTGCCGAGTGCTCTTCCTGGACCAGCACAGCCCTGAGGACGACTCGGCTAACGGCTCCTGGGTGCACCTCACAGTGAATTGTATGAAGCTGGGAGCAGGTGGTGGAGAAGGGAGGAGAGCAGCATGATGGGGACCTGTGCCTGGGGGTGGGGTGTGGTTCCCATGCCCCACTCTTGCTGACACCCCTTGTTTGCTGGCTTGCTGTCTGCATCTTACCCCTCCCACCCCCACGCCGGCCCTTCCAGTGCTTCAGTCTAAGTCCCAGCTGCCTGCTAGGCTCTGTTCCCGTCTTCCCTGTTCCTGCCTCTCTGGCCAGGAGAGGGGAATGGGACGGGGGCTGTTGGGCCTGGACTGAGACATAGCTCACTGATATACACAGCATGTTGTTTTTTCAAAACACCTTTTAACCCAGTACCTCATGAATTCTCTCTCAGCCCTAAGAAGGAAGGGGTGTCCTGATCATTCCCATTTCCTTGTGGAGACTGGATCATGCCACGGATCGGGGCAAAGCAGAGTCTCCCAGAGCGGTGCCAGAGGCCACTAGCTGCCCCCGCCCAGCCCCCGGCCCGTGTGCAGCTCCCGTTGCCAACTCTACAGGCCTGTGCAGAGATGGGCTGGCGCGTTCCTCGCTTGGCCCCGAGTGCAGCAGGGTGGCCCTGGGCTGACGGGCTGACCTGCCGCCTTGGCCCTCGGACCCTGCTCTTTGGACTGATATCTGGCACCCCCTGATGCCTCTCTCTCTGCAGCACCCCCTCAATTCCTGGAGACGCCTCCCCAGGTGCTGGAAGTTCGGGAACTGGAGGCTGTGACCCTGCGTTGTGTGGCCCACGGCAGCCCACAGCCGCGTGTGACTTGGAAGCTCCGAGGACAGGACCTTGGCCAAGGCCAGGGTCAGGTGCAGGTGAGTCCTGGGCTAGGCAGGGGAGTAGTTAGAGTGTGAGGGGCAGGTGGAGGCCTGGGGGCGGGGATGGGGGTGGTGGCTAGAGGACAGGGGCAAAGGCCATGCTGGGAGACTGGCTTTGCACTGGCTTCCTGGGCCTGGCGTGCTGCCTCCCTCTGCCGGTCAGCCTCGGGAGTGCAGGGTCTGAGGCGGCCCGAGGGAAGGGGCGGGAGGGGAGGGGAGGCCCGTGGGACCTTCCTCATCCCCTCCTACCCTAGGTGCAGAATGGGACGCTGTGGATCCGACGGGTGGAGCGAGGCAGCTCCGGAGTCTACACCTGCCAAGCCTCCAGCACCGAGGGCAGCGCCTCCCACGCCACCCAGCTGCTGGTGCTAGGTGCTGTCCGGTGGGGAGGGCTGGGAACCGGGCCTGTGACCTGTGTGACCTGTGGCTGGGGGGGTGCACACAGCAGGAGTGGGGACGGGTGTGTGGAGACAGAGGGGGCTCCCAATGCAGGCTGGCGCTCCAAACCCAGCATCTTAATTTTTTTTTTTTGGTTATTTTATTTATGTTTTTTAATTCTTATGTTAATCCCCACACATTACATCATTAGTTTTAGATGAAGTGTTCCATGATTCATTGTTTGTGCACAACACCCAGTGCTCCATGCAGAATGTGCCCTCCTCAATACCCACCACCAGGCTAACCCATCCTCCCACCCCCCTCCCCTCTAGAACCCTCAGTTTGTTTTTCAGAGTCCATCGTCTCCAATGGTTCGTCTACCCCTCCGATTTCCCCCGCTTCATTCTTCCCCTCCCGCTACCTTCTTCTTCTTCTTTTTTTTTCCTTAACATATATTGCATTATTTGTTTCAGAGGTACAGATCTGAGATTCAACAGTCTTGCACAATTCACAGCGCTCACCATAGCACATACCCTCCCCAATGTCCATCACCCAGTCACCCCATCCCTCCCACCCCACTCCCCACTCCAACAACACTCAGTTTGTTTCCTGCGATTAAGAATTCCTCATATCAGTGAGATCATATGATATGTGTCTTTCTCTGTTTGACTTATTTCACTCAACATGATACCCTCCAGTTCCATCCACGTCGTTGCAAATGGCAAGATCTCATTCTTTTTGATGGCTGCATAATATTCCATTGTATATATATACCACATCTTCTTTATCCATTCATCTGTCGAAGGACATCTTGGCTCTTTCCACAGTTTGGCTATTGTGGACATTGCTGCTATAAACATCGGGGTGCCCGTACCCCTTCGGATCCCTACTTTTGTATCTTTGGGGTAAATACAGCATCTTAATTTTAAAAGGATCAGTGAATGGACAAGTAGATATTTAGCGCCCAGCAGTGTGGTGTGTGACCCCCCCCGACCCCAGTTTCCTCGTCTATATATAAGGAGGTTCAGATCTGCATTTTAGGACTATTACAAGAATTTAACCGAGCACAGTGATCAGCACTTAGTAATCCCTGCCCAAGTCCTTCTGAGGAAAGCTGAGCCCCAGGGCCTGGACTCTGCTGCGGGGAGGACCAATCCAAGTGTCGCTCTCCTTGGTACTGGGGGTGGGCGAAGTCGGCTGGCGGCCCCAAGGCCCCAACGAGCCTTGCCTACCCTGCTGACCTTGGGCAGCGCTCCAAACTTCTTGGCCTCTGAGACTTCATTTCTTCATCTGTGAAGGAGAGACAGTAATTCCTCCCACAGAAGGCGCCGGTGAGGATTAAAAGAGATGGTGCGGCAACGTGCTTACGCCAGCTCGAATTGTTACCTCTTAGGACTGATGCTGGCGCAGCGGGGCCCGGGAAGGGGTGAGGGCAGTGGAGCAGCAGATGGGAGAGACTGTGTGGCCTGGCCAGACTCTGTGGGAAGAGCATTCTGGACGGGGTTCGGAGAGCAGAGGCAGGGCAGTGAGAATGAGGCTGGCACGGGACAGAGCCCGCTGCCCATACTGACCTGAAAGAGTCTCTAATGGTTGGCCAGGCCGGGAGCAGTTGTGAGTTCTTGAGCAGGAGCGTTCCGTGGCCAAAGGGGGCATTTCTGCACGAATGGCCACTGGAGTGGCAGAGTTGGGGGAGCCGGGGTCAGGGCTTGCTGCAGTATCTTGGGGTAAGGTATTGGGTATCTGTAGTAGGGTAGGACGCACAGAGGTGACTTCAGATGTGACAGATGAGGGATGTAAAGGGTAAGTGAGCAGAGAATAAAACCGATTCCCCCCCCAACACACACACACAAGCACATGCACACACACTGCATGCATGGTGCACGAACACACAGCTTCTAGGCAGGCGAATCTGTCCTCCCCCGCCCCCCCCCCCCCCCCCCCCCCCGCACACACACTGCATGCATGGTGCACGAACACACAGCTTCTAGGCAGGGGAACCTGGGTGAATGGTGGTGTTCCTGGAGGGAAGGGGAGCTGGTCTGGGGGAGAGAAGGAACTTTTCTCACCTACAGGGTTAGGGCCCGTTGCAGCTCCCCGACGCCCTGTAACAGCCCCTTCTGTATTCCAAGGGCAGATCCGGGAGGAACTGCAGAAGTGACCTCAGGGTTCTGGGAGGGCTGTGTGCTGAGGCCCCTCTCTCCTCTTATGCTCCCCCCACAGGTCCCCCAGTCATCGTGGTGCCCCCCAAGAACAGCACGGTCAATGCCTCCCAGGATGTTTCCTTGGCCTGCCGGGCTGAGGCGTACCCCACTAACCTCACCTATAGCTGGTTCCAGGACAGCATCAATGTATTCCACATTAGGTGGGGCTCTGGGGTGGGTGGGGGACTGGTAGGCAGCCTTTGAGGAGCCCCCGAGCTGAGCAAGCCTGGAGCCCGGCCCACATGTGCCATTTTGCAGCCGTCTGCAGCCCCGAGTGCGGATCCTGGTGGACGGCAGCCTGCGGCTGCAGGCCACCCAGCCCGATGACTCGGGCCGCTACACCTGTGTGCCCAGCAACGGCCTCCTGCGCCCACCCTCGGCCTCCGCCTACCTCACGGTGCTCTGTAAGCCTGACCCAGCTCCCTCCCCAGCCTGCTCCCTCTCCCCTGGGCCAGGCTGAGCTCCTGCCCTCCAATCTGCCACTGCTTCCCCCGCCCCCCCAGACCCAGCCCAGGTGACAGCAATGCCTCCTGAGACACCCCTGCCCATAGGCATGCGGGGGGTGATCCGGTGCCCAGTCCGTGCCAACCCCCCACTGCTCTTTGTCAGCTGGACCAAGGACGGGCAGGCCCTACAACTGGATAAGGTAGGGGCCTCGGGCCGGGGGAAGGAAGGGCATAGATTGCTGTTCTGGTCAGGACAGCTGGGCTGGGGTTAGTTCCGTGGAATTCAGGTCGGCCACTAGGGACACGCTTCTTCCCTGGGGCTGTGTGGGCTGTTCGGAGAGCAGGAGCACCACATCCGTCCTTAAGGAGGGCACAGCCTGGAGGGGTAGGACAGCGCACACGCTCTGTCGAGTTGGGGGGGGGTCACAGTGCCTGTGGGGACATGAGGCTACCGAGAAAGCTCACGGGGCAGGTTGGGGCCAAAAGGGAGCACTGTGGATGCCAAGTGACTATTCCCTCGTTCCCAGGCAATCTTTGTTTGTCTTCAAAGAGTACACATTCTGCGTGGGCTACCACCGCGTCCTTGAATCCCAGTGCCCCCCAGGGCTTCCGCAATAGGACTCAGTACATTTTTGTTGAACGTTAGAAAAAAAAAGTGTGCAGGCAGTTGTCTGAGCAGAGGTGTGATAGTTTTGGAGCTTGGAGCAGGAGTTGAGTCTGTCAGTGAGTGGAGGACAGAGTGGACGCAGGGAGAGGGGTTCAGAGGCTGTTGAGAAGGTCTAGGGGAGAGGTGAGGAGGTCATGGGGGTGGACGGGCTTGACGCCTAGACAAACGCCTTCCCAGAGGACAGAGCTGGTGAGCATTTGGATGGGGGAGTGGGGAGTTAGGAGTCTGTGGTTAGTAGGGACAGTGAGGCCCTTAACACAGAAATAGGGAAAGGAAGGGCTTTGGCGTGGAAGATGCTGACTTTCATCATGGAGCGCTGGAAAGACAGGTGGGGGACACCCCAGCAGGCAAGGAGCTCCCTACCAGGGCTCAGCTCCAGGGGGCGCCCCCGGAAAGAGAAGTGAAGGACTGGAGTTCAGAGAGGGGTCAGGCCTGGGGGAGGAGTCCTCTGCAGGGAGGCGCCTTTCTTCTCCCTCTCCCGCCCCTGCCCAGTTGCTTTGACTAGTGGCCATCTCCTCTCCTCTTCCCTCCAGCTCCCTGGCTGGTCCCAGGGCCCGGAGGGCTCACTGATCATTGCCTTGGGGAATGAGGATGCTCTGGGAGAATACTCCTGCACACCCTACAACAGTCTCGGCACCGCAGGGCCCTCCCCGGTGACCCGCGTGCTGCTCAAGGTGAGGCTGTGGCCGGGCCAGCAGCACTGGGCCAGGTGGCTGGGGATGCGCCCTGGCTGACGCCGGCCGACCAGGGGGTGGGACAGTCAGCGTGGGGAGGGGCTTCCGAGTCTGTTTCCCACGGTGGGCACAGTCGTAGCTACCAGACGCCGTCCCAGAGGTTTCTGCAGAGATGGTGCTGGGAGGTGGGATGGGAGGCACACACATCCCCAAAGTAAGATACCCCGCCGGTCCAGCTCACTAACCTTGGCCTCTCTGGAGGGGCAGGGGTGAGTAGCAGAGGGGAGGGTGGAAGTTCTGTGGAGGTTTATACATCCCCAGAGAGGCCTCCCAGCCCCCAAGTCCTTGTGCAGCCCCCCATTTCCCTTCAGCCCTGCCAGGGAGCAGAGACTACAGGTAGGGAGATGGGGCCTGAGACGGGGTGTGACCGGAGCCCCCCCGAAAGAGGAGTGTGGTCCTTAGATAGCAGGGTGAGAGGCCCCTCCCGATGCCAGATCTGGCTTGCAGGCTCCCCCAGCTTTTCTAGAACGGCCCAAGGAAGAATATTTCCAAGAAGTAGGGCGAGAGCTACTCATCCCCTGCTCAGCCCAAGGAGACCCCCCTCCTGCTATCTCTTGGGCCAAGGTAAGGCTCCCGATCCTGCTCTGCCTGCGTTCACGCCCACTACGCCCCTGCTTCTCCCTGCCCCTGGTCATTCTGTGGGAAGGAGGGGGCGGTCGGGGGCAGGGTGGGGAGGACACTGGAGCTGCCCTTGGTGAGGGGTGGCTGCGTGTGTCCTCAGGGCTGACCAGTGGTTCTGTAGGTGGGCCGGGGGCTGCAGGGCCAGGCCCAGGTAGACAGCAACAGTAGCCTCATCCTGCGGCCACTGACCAAGGAGGCCCATGGGCGCTGGGAGTGCACCGCCAGCAACGCTGTGGCCCGAGTGGCCACCTCCACACATGTCTACGTGCTGGGTTAGTGGCTGGAGGGCCGGCGGGGGGCTAGAGGAAACCGTGTGGGACAGGAGATGGGGGGATGATTTTTGGAGGTCCTCGTGGGCATAGTGGTTGAGGGAAGCTGGGATGATAGGTAGAGGTCAGAGGCCCCGGGACTCCCCTTAGCTCTTCACTTTCCCTCAGGGCCCTGACCATCATCCCTCCCTCAATTCCCCCTTCCCAGGCACCAGCCCCCATGTTGTCACCAATGTGTCCGTGGTGCCTTTGCCCAAGGGTGCCAATGTCTCCTGGGAGCCTGGCTTTGATGGTGGCTATCTGCAGAGATTCAGTGTCTGGTATACCCCACTGTGAGTGACCTGCCCCTGCCATTCCTGTCCTCCCCCATTCCATCTGACCCTCTGCCCTTTCCCCCACCCCTCCAGCCCAACCTTGCCCTAACTCTGCCCTATTTCCAGGGGATCTGAGGTGTTCAGGGCCCAGGTCCTCAGACCCCAGAAGGCTGAGGGGGGAGGGGACAGGTCAGATCTCTGGGCTCCAAACCTTCCTGGCCCTTCTAGTTCATGAGATGCCCCCATTTCCTCATGTCCTCCAGGGCCAAGCGTCCTGACAGAACCCACCATGACTGGGTGTCCCTGGCAGTGCCTGTGGGGGCTGCTTACCTCCTCGTGCCAGGGCTGCAGCCCCATACCCAGTACCAGTTCAGTGTCCTAGCTCAGAATAAGCTGGGGAGTGGGCCCTTCAGCGAGATCGTCTTGTCTGCCCCTGAAGGTGAGAGACCTCTGCCCTGAGAGCAGCTGACAGGGTGGGAAAGGACTGGTAGGGAAAACCCAGATGTGGGATGACCTGGGTGGGAGGGGTCAGAGGTGCCGGGCCCCTTGGGGTCCACAGGAGTTTGTGGAACAAGATCCAGATTCGTCTTTAGGGGCTCTGGGAGAATGGTTGGGTACAGAGGTGGGGGCAGGGGTGGTGGTGAGAGAGGGGTTGGAGGGCTGGCATGTGGTGGAATGGTCAGGGGACAGGGGAAGGGCACTGGGAGCCCTATCTCCATCATGCCTATCTGTCCTGTTCAGGGCTTCCCACCACACCAGCTGCCCCCAGGCTTCCGCCGACTGAGATGCCACCTCCCCTGTCACCTCCCCGAGGCCTGGTGGCAGTGAGGACACCCCGGGGGGTGCTCCTGCATTGGGATCCCCCGGAACTGGTCCCTGAGATGCTGGATGGCTATGTCCTGGAGGGACGGCAAGACTCCCAGGGCTGGGAGGTGCTAGACCAGGCCGTGGCAGGCACGGAAATGCAGCTGCTGGTGCCCGGACTCATCAAGGTGTGTGGGGGAGGCGGGCACAGGGAGCTTCCTCCTCTCAGCTGTCCAGGCCCCAGCTCCGGCCCCCAAACCTCAGCTTCCCACCCTAACCTCCCAAGTGCAGTCTTTCTGCATGGGGCTGGGGTGGGCGGCGCTGGCCCCTGACCCCCTTCCTGGACCCCCACCCCCAGGACGTTCTGTACGAGTTCCGCCTTGTGGCCCTCGCGGGTAGCTATGTCAGCGATCCCAGCAATACGGCCAACGTCTCCACTTCCGGTGAGAACCGGGCGGGAGGGCAGAGCGCTGGGCACGGGGGGCTCCAAGCCCACCGTCGCGGGCACCGACCCCCTCCCCCCCTCGTGGCCCCTCGCCCAGGCCTGGAGGTCTACCCCTCGCGCACACAGCTGCCGGGCCTCCTGCCCCAGCCGGTCCTGGCCGGCGTGGTGGGCGGGGTCTGCTTCCTGGGCGTGGCTGTCCTCGTGAGCATCCTGGCCGCCTGCCTGACCAACCGGCGCAGGGCAGCCCGCCGCCGCCGCAAGCGCCTCCGCCAAGGTAGGCCCCTGAGGCCGCGCCCCGCCCTCCCGAGGCCCCGCCTCCCCAGGCCCCGCCCACCGGGGGTGGAAGGCCCCACCCCCAGGCCCCTCTGCGCGCGGCCAGGTGCATCCTGTCCTGCACAGTCCCCGGGGCGGGAGGGCTTGCCAGCGGGCGATGGCTGAGCCTCAGCGCCTGGGGCCCTGGAGGGCCTGAGTTTTGCCGGTGTCCTCTCTGGTTCTCCTGCCCGAACAGATGCGCCCCTTATCTTCTCTCCGCCTGGGAAGTCAGCTCCACAGTAAGTCTCTCCACCTCCTCGGCCTCCTTCTGCCTGCCCTCTGCGCCCACTATCTCGGCTTCCGTGGTGGTGCCTTGGGGTGGGCTGGGAGGGGCGGAACAGAATGAGAACGAGGTGAGGGTGGGAGTGCAGAGACCCCAGCTTGGGGCCTGTCCACTGTTGCCTCTGCCTCTTCTCCACCTCTCCACCGTGTGGGTCCTTGTCTCGGGTACTCTCCCTGGCTCTGCTCTGTTGTGCAGCAAACTTCTCAAGGCCTGATGCTGGTTCCTGGGAGGGGGACTGGCCCCCTGCCACAGAGCCTGATCTCCTGTCCTTCCCCAGCTCTGCTCCGGGCTCGGGCAGCCCCGATAGTGTGGCGAAGCTGAAGCTCCAGGGTTCCCCAGTCCCCAGCCTGCGCCAGAGTCTGCTCTGGGGGGAGCCTGCTGGCCCCCCCAGCCCCACTCCAGATCCTCTGCCTAGTCGGGGGCCCTTACCCCTGGAGCCCATTTGCCGGGGACCAGATGGCCGCTTTGTGATGGGACCCAATGTGGGGAGCCCCCAAGAAAGGTCAGGCTCTGAGCGAGCTGAACCTCGGACCCCCGCCCAGCACCAGGCCAGGTCCTATGACTGCAGCAGCAGCCCCAGTGGGATGCCCCAGCCCCTCTGCATTGCAGACATCAGCCCTGTGGGGCCCCCTCCCGCAGCCCCACCTAGCCCTCTGCCTGGTCCAGGACCCTTGCTCCAGTACCTGAGCCTGCCCTTCTTCCGGGAGATGAATGTGGATGGGGACTGGCCCCCTTTCGAGGAGCCCGCTCCTGCTCCACCCCCAGATTACATGGACACCCGGCCCTGCCCCACCTCCTCTCTCCTTCACCCCCTGGACTCCGACACGGTGTCCCCCAGGGCAGCGCTTCCTGGGGCTGTGACGGGGGCCGGGGCCACCCCAGAGCCCCTGTACACAGCACTGGCTGACTGGACGCTGAGGGACCGGCTGCTGCCAAGCCTTCTCCCTGCTGCCCCTCGGGGCAGCCTCACCAGCCAGAGCAGCGGGCGGGGCAGCGCCTCGTTCCTTCGGCCCCCCTCTACGGCCCCCTCTGCAGGAGGCAGCTATCTCAGCCCTGCTCCGGGAGACACCAGCAGCTGGGCCAGTGGCCCTGAGAGGTGGCCCCGGAGGGAGCATGTGGTGACAGTCAGCAAGAGGTGAGGACAGTCCCTGCTCATCCCTGCCCAGGCTCCAGTTCCTGCCCAGACTTCCCCTAATGCCCTGTGCCTTCCGGGCTCCACCCCCACCCTGGGACCAGGAGAACTTGTCTCCTGTTAGAAGCTTTTGCTGAGGTCCAGGGATCTTCAAGGGACGCATGGTCCCACCTGAGCTTGGGGACTCTGGGCTGGGGCTTTTTTGGTCACCTTCAGTTCCTCCACCCAATACGGGACATTTGTCCCTTTTAACAGGAGGAACACGTCTGTGGATGAGAACTACGAGTGGGACTCAGAGTTCCCCGGGGACATGGAATTGCTGGAGACTCTGCACCTGGGCTTGGCTGGCCCTCGCCCCCGACCTGAAGCTGAGCCAGAGCTAGGTGTGAGAGCCCTCCAGAGAGGCCGTGTGGCCTTGCTGTTCCACGTCTTGCCCGTCTGGTTCCCATCTGGTCCCAGTCGGGCCCCATGCCCTAGGCTTGCTCCCACTCCTGTGCCTCATCTGCACCGGCTGGGCCTGGGCGGCTTCGTGGTGCCAACGACCCTCAGACCTCTCCCTGTCCTTGTCCTGCCCTCCCCTTGCAGATGTGAAGACTCTGGAGGAGGGCGGCCTTCCGAGCGTGGCCCATGCCCCAGGCCCTGAAGCCCGCTGCGCTGCCCTCCGGGAGGAGTTCTTGGCTTTCCGGCGCCGCCGAGATGCCACTAGGGCCCGGTTACTGGTCTACAGACAGCCAGTCCCCCATCCTGAACAGGCCACTCTGCTGTGAAGGCTGGGTGAAGGCACACAGGCCCTGCGCGCGAGGGCCCCACAAGACCCAGCTCTGTTTCTGCCCCCCTTTGGTGTCCAGGCACAGCCCCTGATGGTGGGCAGGGGTGGGCTTGGTATGAGATGTCTGCTGGGCCCCTAGAGCCCAGGACTGAAACAGAGATCTTAGGTCTGCCCGTGTGTGTGTGTGTGTGTTGATGGTGAGGTGTTTGTGGTGTGGGTGAGGTTTTTTACAGGTGAATAAAGAAAGTCTGAAAAATGTTTCTATGTGTCTTCTGCCTTTGAATCTGAGAGGGAGGGAGGAAAATCCCTGAACCCTTAAAAAGGAGGGGACTCTTCCTGAATGAACAGAGGTTCATTCAACATCCTTGTAGAAAGCATTTATTGAGTGCCTACTGAGGTCAGCTACTAAGACCAGCCATTGAGTTAGATGCTGAGAAAACAAAGTTCACTAAGTCAAGCCTTTGCCCTTGGCAAGTTCCTTCTAGTCAGTGAAGCAGGCAAAGGGACAGTTACAGTGTGATGTGATAAGTTCTGTGATAAAGCTTTGTGTTGCACATTGTGGTCGCACAAAGGAAGGCGTCAACAATGAGTGCTTACAGCATGTGCTGGGACAGTGCTACCTATGGGGAGGTCCTCATGGAGTGGGAGTAACAGCAATAGCGAGCAGCTGAGCCCCCACTTTCTTGGCGGCGCTGGAAAGCCAAGAACTCCCGGAGGGCAGCGCAGCGGGCTTCAGGGCCCGGAGCATGGGCCACGCTGGGAATGTGCTCATGGGACGACTTTAAGCTCCTTACACGCTATTTTCCACCACTCTGAGGTAGGTAGAATGCCGGGCTCCATTTTCTAGACTGGGGAACTAAAGCATAGAGGTTTTAGGAATTTGTTCAGAGGTCACACAGCGGGTACGGAGTAGGGTAGGTCAGAAGTTGGTTAAAAGAGGGAAAGCACCCCAGGCAGAAGGCACAGAGGAGTGAAAACACTTGGTCTCCCAGGGACTCACTTGGCACTGGATTATAAGATTGGGGAAGAAGGGATGGCGAGGTGGAGGGAGGACACTGGTGGTTGATGTCCTTGGAAACCAAGCTAAACGGGTAGCTTCTACCAGACAGGAAGAACCCCACTATCTGATGAAGGTAGGGACTCCACCCGAGGGGCACAGCTCAGGAGAAACCTGAAGAGGGGCGCTCCTTCAACCGCTAAACTATGCTCCCCTCCACCCTCAGACACAGAACTGCCCACCTCCTTCTCTCCTGAGGCCTCCTCTTCTGATCCCTCCAGGATTAAGAGACGCCAGGTCAGGGAGGAGGAGACTAAGGGGAGAGAAGTCAGATCTGAACCCTGGGTCCCAAGGCTGATCACACCTCTTGAGCCCTGGGCAAAGAGTGACCTCACTGTGAGTTCCTGCCCAGGCCTGAAGAAGGCGAGAGCAGGAGCACGTGGGGTACACCCTAGTCACTTGGGGGGCGGGGAGGGTCTTCCTGCGCTTCCCTTTACCTAACCACCCTTTTTACATCAAGAGGTCTCTTCCCACATAAACACGACCATAGTCTTGAGCTAACCTTCCAGGCAAAACGCTTCCCACCAAGGCGTAAGTTTAAGAGCTCTGGGCTGGAGGCCGCGGTCCTCACGGGTGGAGACCACTACTGTGGCCCGCGTAGGCCCGGACTCCCCAGATCCTTTCGCCCAGGCTCCCGCGCACCGCCCCCCTCCCCAAAGCTCTGCCCTCCGCTCCCGCGCTGTGGCGCCTTTAAAGCCTCTGGGCGCTCGCCCCGCCCCGGGTCCGCCCCGTCCGAGGCGGGAGCCCGCTGAAAACCCCCCGGCCCGGGCCGGGCGCGCCACTCGGCCCGCAGCCCCTGCCAGGAGTGTGCCGCGCCGGCCCGCCCACGGTGAGCAGGGGGAGGGCGGGGGGCGCGCCCCCAGGAAGCGGGAGGCCAGCGCTGGCGACTTGCTCCCCGGATGCGGCGAGGGTCCGGCGACAGCTCTGCTCGCCCCGTGCTGTCGGGTCCTGTCCCCAAGCCCCGACCCGGCGTTGCTGGGCGATGAGGTCAGCCGAGGTTGCGGGTGCACGGACGGGGCGTCCGTCCCGAGCAGCGGGGGGACTCGGCCTTCGGGGGAGAGGAGCGGCGGGCGTCGGGGCTTGGCTGGCGTGCCCGGAAGGCGGGCGCGCCCTCGGAGCTTCCCCGCGACCCTCACTTCCCGGTCCCAGGAGCACGTGCGGGAGCTGCCCGCGCTCCGCGGCCCCAAGGCCGCCCTGTCCGTTCCTCTTCCCGCCGCCGACCCGCTGGCGAGTCGGGGTCACGGGCCGGGGAGGACAGCCCCCGACCTCGGGCTCCGGGGGCTGCCGCCCGCGCCGGCGGGCGGGGTGGGGAGGGGGCTGCTTGCGGGCGATCCTGCCCCCGCGCCCGCGAGGGCCCCCACCCCGCGCCCCCTGCTGCTGGGAAAGCCGGCGGGGGCTGCGGGCGGGCGGGCTGCCCAGACCACTGCGTCACCCCAGCGGCGGGCGGTGGGTGACTCATCCGCCTGTAACGGCCCAGGGTGTGGCGAGGCGCGGCGGCGGGGCCGGACCCGCAGGACCGGAAGTGGACGGCCGCCCTCCCGGCCCTGCAGGCCCCGTGGAGCCTCCTGGAGCCCGTGCCCGGGGAGTTCCGGGGCAGCCTGGCATCTGGGAGCAGCCAGCGTGGCGGGAGTGGGGGGTGGGGTGGGGGGCGGCGGAGGTCCCGGGGACGGGGAGCCCGGTGCCTTGGCTGGGCCCTCCCGAGTTCTGACTCCAGAGCACCGGACGGAGGGACAGCTCCCCCCCTCCAGCGCCCCTCCCGATTTCCCCTTCCTCGTCCCGCGCGCGGGGAGACCTACAACTGCAGGGGAGGCCCGGGGAGCGTGGGGCTGCGGGGCCCGGCCCTGCGGGGGGCAACCGGTAGCCTTTGTCGGACTGCAGCGCGCCTCCAGCGCCCCAGCCCTCCTCTGCGCCCTGGATTGGCCTCGAATCCTTCCTGCGCCCCAGCCCTTCTCCCTCCAGGATTTTCGGGGAGCGGGCTCTCTGACTCCGAGCACACCGTCCGTTCAAAGAGCATGTCTTCTCTACCCCCCAACTTGTAACCTCCCACGCCTCCAAACGCCCTCTAAGCTTAGCCTCCGCCGCTGCCCCGGGAGGGACCCCTCGCACCTGCCTGCACCCGGGAACTGCCGGGGGGGGGGCGGGCTTTTTCCCCGGAGGCCGCCTCCGGCCCGGGCGCACGCAGCCTCCTCACCGTGCGTGTGTGTTGAGTGCGCGTTTCTGCCCGGTGCCCCCACCCTGCCGGGTTCCTGTGTTTGGTACACAGAAGCCATGGCAACGGCCCCACCTCACCCCTCCTCCCGCAAGCCTGCGGCTTCCTGTTTGTGCCGCTTCAGCTTTCTCTTCTGCTCGCTGACGTGATGGTGAGGGGCTCGGTCTCAGGTGTCCACCACCCTTGCCCTGCCTGCCCCCTCTGCGCTTCCCTTTGGGGGCAGGGGCCCCCGCTGGCCCCTTCAGAATAGCCCTAAGCCCGATTTCGACTTGGGAAGTTCCCCTGCGACCTGTGTGCCCAATGAATGGAGAGTCTCTTTGTCTTCCCCTGTGAGACGCCCCGGGCCCCCAGCCTCCCCAGCGGGGACCCTTGCCCTTGACATCTGCGTGGGGTGGGGCGAGGTGAGCGTCCTGCCCAGGGTCTGGGGGGCCCCTCCCCCTCCCCCTTCCCGGACCATTGTAATCTTGTGGGTGGGGTGAGGGCTGTTCCCACAGCTGCAGGCAGCTCTGGCTTGGGTAAGTCACCCCCGCCCCCCCAAGTGGTTCGGCTGTTGTCTTCTCTTCGGATCCCCAGCCCTGGGCATCTCCTACACAGCTCCCCACCCCAGCAGGCACCTGGCCCTCTTCCCTTCCTTTGAGGGAGGGCTGCGGAAGGTCCCCTGGGTGTCACTAGGGCGGGCCACCCCAGCTCCAGCACACCAGCCTCGGCTGCCCAAGGGGGCGGGGAGGAGAAACCCCTGCAGGCAGGCTGGCCGGGCCGCCCCTTCCCGGAGCTCAGCCCCACAGCTCTGGCACCTCCGGTCCCCAGGGCAGTGGCCCCCAAGTGGAGCCGAGATGCTGCAGCTGGAGGCTGTGACACGGCCATTGGTGTCCAGGCTCCAGAGTGGGGCGGGGCCCCCAGCATCCTCCCGGAGCCCAGAGGTGGGGCTGGGAGGCCAAGTCTGTTCTGCCCCTGGGGCGGGGGTGGCGCTTCAGGCCTGCTCTCCCCTACTGACCCTGGTGTCGGGGTTAATGATTCTTCTGCCCTTTCTCTCCCTGGGCCATCGTGATCCCTTGGCCCTAGGCCACTTGGCTCCAAGGAGACACAGCCCCGAGGCCCAGGGGACCCTAGTGAAGCTGCTTCCAGGAGAGAGGTCTGGACATTGGGTTGGGAAAAGGGGGCTTACTGGTGGCTTCCGCCCCGTCCTCCCCCTTTCCCCCCAGGTCTCCCAGCCATGCCTCTGTGTGTCACGGGCCCCCGGGCTGAGATAGAGCGAGTGGTGGCTGAGCTGCTGGGGCTGGGCTGGCAGGAGAGAATCTTGTCCCCCTTGCTCTGCAGGCCTCGGCTGCTCTCTGCTTGCCCTCCCCCGGCCGAGAGTGTGTGTGCCTGGTGGTGTGGGTCAAGGCCCAGACTGACATTTATCTGGGCCAGCCTTCAGGCTGGGGGGGAGTGAGGGTGGGCTGGTCTTAATGAGGTATAAAAATAACTGATTTAGGGGGAGGATCGCTGCCGGAAATGTGCTGCTGGATAAGCTGGCGGAGAAAGGAGCAGCGCTGTTGGAGTGTGGGGGAGGGGACCGGCCTGAGACCAAAGGCTGAGAGCAGGAGGGGTTTGAGGCGGCTCTGCCCCATGCCTGGCTCCTCTGCTGAGCCCCGAGGCCCATGGAGGGGGTGGCAGGATTGTGGAACCTGGGGTGTGTGGGAGAGAGTGAGACAGAGTGACTTCATCCCTACCGTCTGACCTGTCCTGGAGCCAGGTGTGGGGAGCAGGAGTCTCCCCTCCCTGTCCTTGCACATAGGTGCCTGTTCTGGGGGATCCCCCTGTCTGAGCGGCAGACAGCTAGCTGGATCTCACAGTGGAAAGGGAAGCTCATCTGCAGAGGGGATAGGGACAGGGAGTGAGGTCCTGTTCCTTCTGTGCTCCTGGCTCCTCCCTGGCATGGGTAGCATTTTTGGGACTTGCTCAACAGGGTCCCGGGAGTGGGACGTAGGCAATGAGGTAGGAAGTGGGGAC